CACTGGGGCAGCCTCCAAAACAGTAGCATGCGTGGAACGAACAGACGGAGGATATGCTCACGATCGAAGGTGCGTCAGGCCCTGGTGAGTCTCCCAGTAACACAGCATGAACTTCCTACACTGTCCCAGTGGTCGTGGTATTCTTAGCAAATTAATTTACGTTTTTTCGCTGAGCTAATAAAAAAAAAACGAAAAAATGAGGCTGATATATACAAATACAGGGGTACGCGCAATAGACCGAACTGGCCATGCGTGTTTTGCACAATTTTGTCCCTCAGGTCAAACCACCAAATTGCAGATTTGAGTCAAACAAATTAAATCTGGCTCCCACTTACCTCAGAAAATAGCTCGAGATTCCGTGGAATTAGAAGACTGCTTTATGAATATGAGGCAGTTTAGGGCCAAGAACTGAGTTCCTCAATTCTATTTTTTAGCTGGTCTAATTGCGGAACCGAAAAGTGATAACCGCATGATATTCATACTGGTATGTAGTTTGGCAAAAACATTAGTGCAAAAAAGGTATAACAGCCATGCAAACAATAAACTAAACGATAAATTAGGATAAATTAAGAAGTTTAGATGGGCAAGAACAAAAACCACAAAGAGTTACGTACCAACCACATACTGGATTCTGGGAAAGTGAAAATTCAACATACCTTCAACATACCGCCAATCCAAAATGCGTAGCAGCTGTCGTCTGGTTTATTGGCCCTGCCGTGAAATCCTTCATCCTGCTTCCAAAGCGCCCACTTTATGAGCCGTTCGATTTGTTTGTGCGTAAGAACGCTTTCATCCCACAAATGTCCGGCCATTGCTAAAGAGGCCACGGCACAAAACGCTGCGCCACCTAAATCATTACTTGGATTATAAAAAATTGCAGTACTTTAAAAGAAGGATGTCCAGGAAAATTCTGTTAATTAAAGGCTTAAACAGAGATGTTTATAATCATGTGAAATGAACTAAGCAACTGACAAAGCCAACGATAAAAGATGAAAACGGCTTTGTTCGCTTGACCATTCACCTCGTTTCACTTTCCAGTGACTGGCAAGAAAAAAGGCAAAGTTACAGGAGGCAAAATCGGAACGAAGCGACAGTAATACCTCCATCCAAATTTCTTTCCTGACCTCTTATTCCAGTTGGGCTCTGTAAAAAAAAAGCTAACCGTGGCTTTCAAGACTTGGTGCATGCCCTATGCCACCGTCAAAATTGACACATCGTCGAATAAACTGCAGCATCAAATCCACATTTATTGTAGTGAAATCATCTAGAATGTAGCACACTGCGGCAGCACAGTAGACAAACCGCATGTCGTTTTCATTATCTTTCTGTCCTCGAAAACTGAAATCTATTCGCTAGAAAATTTGCATTTGTCAAATGTGTTTTTTGAAAGCATGTTAGGGATGTGGTTTTTTTTGTTGCGCAACATATACCAGAAGAAAATTTTGGAAATTTGATGGATATCTGTTGCAAAATTATGGCAAATTTTATTATCGAAGCGAAAATTAAAACTTTTTCTCTTCTATGCCTAAAGAAATGACAATATATATAAGTCTCCAATGACAATATATATACAAATAAATGTACTGTGAAACTGCTGGAACAATTGGTGTTTGGGACTTATATGTGTATGTGTTAGAGTGTGTGCGCGCGTGCCGAAGCACCCAAGTGGCTGTTTATCTCATCGTGAGTACCAATAATAAATGCTGGTTATCTAGAGTCGGCATGGGAGCAACATGTTCTGCTTACAGATCAACACTTTAAAATCTATAAAAACCGTAGACTCGATCACAGGCGCAAAATCTAGCCAAAGCGGCTCTCTGGAGGCTAAAGGCGATTTTCTAGCAAGTGCCTCATAAAGAAGCACAAAGTATACATCAAAATCTGTACGAAAAGGATGAACTTCACCAAAGAAAACAGTGTAAGAGCGAGTCTGAAACAAACATAGTATAGTTGAAAACCAAAAACGAACCTTCCATCGCTGAGCTGAGAGTATCGTAACCCTTGCAACACTGCACCTCTGTCCACTCCACTTAAATCATCGCCCAAAATTAACAAGGAACAAAGGGCCACATAAGTTTGTGAAACATGAGCACTGTCATAAATGCAACATTTCGACGTTCCAGCATCATCACCCGATCCATCAGAATGCGCTGGAGCGGAAGAACTAAGCGATCCACGGAATCCATAGGCTTCCTTTGCACACCCTGAAACTGCAACTACATACAACCAAAATCATACTCCGTTAATTTTTTAGCATTTTAAACCCTGTTTTTTTTTTTCGGAGCATTCGTTTTGTATTTTTCGGGGCGC